CATGCCGTCACTGAGCTCCATGTACTCGGCTTCAGTCGAACTCAGTGCGACGGTCATCTGACATCTAGATCGCCACACCGCTGGAGCACCGCACTTTAGGAGCATTATGCTGCTCACAAAGCGTCTGTCGCCACGGTTGTCGGCCTGTCTGCGTCGAGGTATGCGACCAGCTCTGTTAATTCGCGTCCGTCGTACGTGATGTCAATGTTCTTGGTTTCAACAGGTACCGTGCCCCTGATGCCAGAATCCCAGTTCTTCTGTCCCGGGTGCTCCACGAAGCTGCTCAACTGAGCAACGGCAATCGACATGTTGGTCGTGTACTACATGCCAGGTACGTCAGGCTCAGCACAAGCGAATGGTATGGCTTCGAACTCATCTTGGCCGTGCCGTCTTTGCTTTCGGATTCAGTAGCCTTGGTAAGATGAAAGACTGCTTCCAGTAGAGGGAGACACGTCTTAGCGTCTTTTTGCCCAAACTTCCGGATGGCCTACTCTGTATACGCTTGTCGACTGATGCATAGGGGCTTGCACTTCATATCATAGTCGACGTTGATTATAAAAATCCAGCGAGCACGTCGAATATCCTTGGTGTTTCTCTCGTGTTTACACAGGGGTCGGTATCGACTCCCTTGAATCTGATGTACTAGAGGTGGTTGTCGACTGTCTTGTGCCACACACTAGCAGCTTGATTGAGTCCGTGGGGACGCTGAAGTAGTAGGTACACCAGGCCGTCCTCACCTTCATCCTCAGTCAAAGAAAGTAGCTCTTGCTCTCCCTCAGGTAACTCCATGTATATCCTCTTGTTGAGTTTCCTATGCAGGAGTGCCTTGCCAACGTCGCACTTATTGATATCGTATCGGTCAGCAATGCACTTATCACGCTTGCCATCGGTCCAATTCAGAAAAGCCTCCTCTTGCGGCGCAGATGCATCTGCCTCTTAAGGATTCGTCGTTTCGTCAAAGGGACGTGTTTGTGTCCGCGTCCATACGGTACGATCGTCTTGTGCACGCCCCCGTCAGGTTGGAGTGGATATACGTCACCATCTACAACGCAAACAATTCGTGTCGATTCCCAGGTTGCGAGTCTTTCTGCGTAACTACCAGAACGAAAGCTTCGATCCTTCACTTTCAGGATGCATCAAAGCGTGCATTGGATCCACCCCGCCATCGGGCTCTAAATTAACAGCACCGCCACTCTTCACAGAATTCACCGTGTGTCATTACACGGCGTCGTCCTTCGTCTTCTTCAAGCAGCAACCTACGCTGACGTCGTCACCATTGACTTCATCTGCGGCGCGAGACACTCCTTCTGCCATGGTCGATTGTTGTTCGAATAGCTTACATGGGATGTGGTTCAGTGCTTTCACCGCAGCCCACGACTCCTTTCGAGCTGTCGTAACAGGGTACACCTCGCCCCTCTCTGGGTTCAGAATATACACGTCTACATAACCCCTGGACTCCTCAACCGTAGCATTACTATAGCGAAAGCCACAATTGGCCTTGCTGACCTGCGTGACGACGTTCTTATCGGTCAGCTTGGTCACCGAGATGAGGCTTTCTTCATCTTCAGGGGTGCAAAGAACCCCCGATAGCGTGACAGACGTCCCGTTCATCAGCTTCAATACGACAGTGCCCGTTGCAACTGCGTCGATTGTCGTGTCATCTGCTATCGCGATACCGGCTGGCGTCTCATGTTCTCATGCACACAAACTTGTCCCGGACGCTGGTCATGTGCGCGCCTGCACCTGCGTCAACACGTCATTCAGCCTTGGCCTTCACACTCGCAGCCGTGAACGCTAAATCCGACGTTTGAGCTTGCGTCACTCGTTCTCGTTTCTCGTCGGCCATATTTTCCGGCCCCCGACCTCCTTGTACCCTGGTAGAAGCACTTGCCAGTGAAGCCACTCTTATTCCTGAGTTCCATCCTCTTTGATGGAAACGTCCTCTCTTGGGCCGATGGCGATCCCTATATATGGCTTCAAGCCTATAAAAAATACCCAGATTTGTGATTAATTTCGAAGCACGAATTAGAGTGAATGGTGTACTGTACAAGTTGTTGTTGTGGTTGCACTTCGCTGTCTACTCATGAGTAATTAGAGTGAACGGTGTAGCGATTTAGAGGCATTCACCCATTGTGTTATTTAAAGAGGTATTTGTTTCACCCAGTTCTCTTCAAGCAGTATACACTGGGTAAATGGATTTTGATTTTATCCGTGGCTCTGTCACAATGGTCACAAGTTTGTTGTCCGAAAATCTAGCCTCTATCGTGTCATCGGAAAATGATCATCATTTTTACGCGTTTTTGGAGAGTGCGATGCTCCATTGCATTTTCACAAGTATTCCTGACATAGAGTCTAAATTAGTGGAGGTCTACACATGTATACATGTAATTGAGGTACATGTAGGTGAAGAAGCATTGAACGACCTGGTGTGTCGCAGTTTAACAAATGATTACTTATCCATGAGTCAGGAGATACTTTCTTACTTAAACCTATTTAGACAGCTTTAGTATAATATGCCTGTGTGACTCCACGTAAGACCTGGAAACGCACAGCGAAGTACATTTGCATTTAATGCTTCTGTTAGCCGGCAAACTTCCTCACATGGCGCATTATATCGATTTATAACTCAACGAACGACCTGAGTAACACGATAAGCTGCTATGTCTGACAGAGAAGTCGTCCACGGGTTACATCAGGTAGGATAAGTCTTACTGTATAATGCATTCTATGTGGCGCACGCCGTTTTCAGTAGTATATTTGCTATTACATGTATGTCCTGTTATTGTTGGGACCAATGCATTTTTGATAAACGGTTTGTACTTTACGCCGTCGAGACTACGTGACGACTCTTCCGCCAGCTGTTTTCAAGACAGCAAACGCGTGGCCGGAATTCCTAGAGCAAACTGGTTTGGGATGTGTATTCTCTGTCGATGGTCAGACTCTGGCTTGTAATAGCTCTCTACCTATTTCCGCATATTGTATTGGTCCCTTTGTCCAAAGTGGTATTTCAGATGTTTCTAGGTTTTGTATCATCTTTCGGTTAAAAATGTGCTTCTTCTTTGGAAATTACAAATCTCTCGTGTTCGTTTCATCCAAAAAAAAATATGGCATGCTTTTCCGTAGCATCTAATAGTATACTGTAAAGGATGAAAACTATTGAGCAAACTTAATGCTGGATAAAACACGCAGCCGCAACTCGGTTTAGCACGTAAGCAAGCCGCACCTCCTGAAGTAGCGGCGGTGCAATGTGTTCTTGCGGTCTCAGCGGCACGCATAAGCGTAGAATGCGTAGACTGGCATGCTATGCAGGTTTTTTGTCACGTCTATTCATTTCTAAATGTGTGTGTTATTGTGTTTCTGATCGGTCAATGTCCCTTATACACCCATTAAATTAATTTTTGCACATGCATTTGGCAGTTCATTTTGTTAAACTAGATTCTATTACTTCTCGTACTCAATTTCATCTTTCTAAAGATATTGAACAAAAACCTGTTTCGCATTTTATTGATAGCAAAGCGAATCACCGCTAAAGCTTAAATTGTCACTTAATGGCGGTAAGGGCGGGAAAACTCATTTCAAACAGGTCATCACGCCCTATAAATATCCTCATATATAGGCTCGCTAAAGTAGTAGAGAAAAAATAATCTCGGTTTGAAGAACTGTTAATATTTTTTTAAACCAGACAAGTAATGAATTAGTGGAGATAAAACTGCTTTATTGCGATGGTTATTTTTAAATATTGTAACTTTTATAATTGAGAAGGGCGAAGCATGCTGAAACTTGTTGAGTCAACCGCTCTATTTTGTGCTTGTCAAACTTTCTCGGTCGGTTTGGGCACGTTTAGAGCGGAAAGTGAACGTAAGAGAACGCGATTTTTCGCCGTATCATTGGTTTATAAAGGCTAGATGTCAGACAAAAGAAGTATCATTTAATAGTCAAGGGAATGCGTAAGAAACGATCAGATTTTAGCAATGGATACAAGTTTCGTGAACTAATTACGTTACTGATGCCAGCTCATATCCTTTTTGGCAAATTATTCTAATAAACCTACATATTACAACAAGACAGCGCCCAAACACACTAATAACTACTTTTTCGGTCTGGAAAACATTTAATTACATTAATTGATCGGAGTTTTGTATAAAACAACATCGTATTGATTCTGGCACAGACGTTGAAAGTGCGTATTTCTCTCACAAACCGATTACATTATGCGTTTTGTGCTTTGATTTGCGTCGTACTTGGAAGAGTTCCATTTTCTCCAAAAAAAACAGAAATGCAGTCTGCATCACAGCCAACCTTGTCGTTGTATTTCTCTTTTAATAATTGTACTAACTCCACGAAAAGATGTATAGTGCATCTGAGAACGAAATAAACAACTTGCAGCTGGAAGGACGAGAAAATCGTAAAGGAATGACAATTATTTTCAATATCCTTAGAATTGGACTTTTTACGTTGCTAGAAAAAGACCAAAAAGCTGAAGTCAACACTGCTTGCGAAGCTATTTTTACAATGGAAATGGAAAGACTGCTTCGCAAGCAGTGTTGACAGAAACTTAAACTTGTTGAGTCAAAATGGAAAATTTACATTAAGCCTCGGACGAGCGGGAGCATATGTTTACAGAATGATAGCTAGTTTTGAAGTGACGACGCTTAACGGGATGGAGGATAAGGCAGCTACTGGTATTCCGCATGTATCCTGTCGCTATTAATAGGCACTCTTGTTTACTGTAGACTGTCGCCTTTAGATGACTTTAGTGATCTGCTCGAAATCATTCACGTCCTATCAGCGATTTTTTCACGCGATATCATTTTAGTGATGTTTATGGCACTTGCTTTTACCGGTACACTAAATGCGACAATCGTTTTTGCACAAATTCTAAAAAGAGCGGGCGAATTTGCAGTCAGTTATCCAGCCCCAGATACTGTACTTAACTGGTTGTCGATTTTTTTGGCTGCCATTTCACAATTAAAAGGCAATCGAGTCACCCATTTTGTTTAATGACCGTCAAAGTATTCCACCTCACTATGCGTGTGTGCTACTTTCTACTATCCGCATTCGCTGCTTACGACGAGGTGGCTCTAACCACTGTGGCAAACTCCAAGAACGAAGGTTTGGGCCACGCTATCCATACTCGAGGCCATGGATCCTTAAGGGTCCATGCAGAATCAATGCTGGGTGAAGACAGTGGTAACGACGATGATAGGATGATCGACATTAAGTCAGCTGCGGTTTCGACATTTCAAAATCTGGCCAAGTCAGGAACGCAGGCCGTGAACAAGGCAACAACAAGTGTTCAGCTGAAATTATCTTCGAAAAGCCAAAAAACAACAGACAATCGTTTCGTTAGTCTCGATGTTGGCGCGGTGAAGTCGAAGCTTTTTGAGAGTTTAAAGTATCAGAAGTGGGCTGAATCTGTGACCAACGCCTACAAAAAGAACGTTGAAGCAGGTAAATTGGCGATGTTCTCGACGTTGAGCGCTCACTATGGGGATGTCGCCCTTGCCAAGCTTCTGGCTGAAGCACAGCACGTGCCAAAGACCAGGAGTGTTGCCAACCTGTTTGAAGCCATCCAGCTCGAAAAATGGCTCACTGAAAAGAAATCGACGAGTCAAGTGTTTAAGCTTCTACACCTGGACGTGGATAAAGGCAATTTGCTGAAGAATCCGTTGGTAAACACCTGGGTATCATACGTGGATAAAATTGGGAAGGAAGACCCCTACCAGATATTGGTGCGAGAGCTGACCAAACGCTACGGAGACGATGGATTAGCGAATGTGCTTGTTGCAGCAAAGGCAGATGACACTGCCCAAGTCATCGCTTCGAAGGTAGTGAACGCGCAGCTCAAGAGCTGGTTAAGTAGTGGGGTAACTATAGATGACGCTTTCAAGCTTCTACAACTAAACACTGTCAAGAAAGACGACATTCTTAAGAGCCCAATGCTAAGCGCGTGGATGGCGTACGCCAGAATGAACAAGCAAGATCCAAACGAGTTGCTGTTCTCGACACTCAAAAGCCGATTCAGCGATGAGGAGATAATCAAGATGATCGTTGCTGCAAGGGGCGACCCCAAGCTGTGGCCTTCTTTAGGAGGTTTGGCAAGAATGCAGCTAACAAGCTGGCAGCGAGCGGACAAAAGTGCAGACGACATGTTTCAGCTTCTTAAACTGAGGGATGGTGACGAAAAACCCTTCGACAACCCCGTTTTTAATACTTGGGTCTCGTATGTCACGAATCTACACCAGGAACGCACAGATGAAGTGATATTCTCAGTGATGAAGAAGCACTACGGTGAAGAACGCCTGGAGAAGATACTCGGACAAGCAACGCAAAGTGCGAATACGAATAGCATTGCCTTGAACCTAGAAAAAGAGCTGTGGAAGTCTCAAGGGAAAACAGCCGATGACGTGTTTAAGGCGTTGAAGCTGGACAAAAAAGGTGACAATCTTTTCGAGGATCCAGCAATACGCACATGGGTATACTTTGTGAACAAGCTGAACGGCGACAAGAAAACGCCAGACGAGTTTGCAGCCATATCTGCGTTAGAGAAGCACTTTGACTACGTAAATCTCGCTCTGCTGCTTGGTACTGCGGAGCTCCAAGCCAAGGTGAAAGGGGAGACGGTGGAGTTTGTGAAGACACTTACCAGCTTGCGAAACATGCAGTTTAAGCAGTGGATGGTGCGCAAGGGTTTTGATCCCCAACGTCTTCAGATGGCGCTGGCCAATCGTCCGTTCGATAAATGGAACGCTCGTATCTCTCTCGATTTCAGCGACTTCTATAAAGCTAATGGTGGGCTGCTAATAGGTTAGTTACTTCAGGTGTTGTTAATACTCACTGGATTAACACTAGAAGCTCCAATGTATAACATTCCTTCCTGCCAAAAGTTTAATTTGCTGATTGGAAATAACAGCGCAGATCGTCAATCTGAAAAAAATGATACATCTGCGTTCTCTAGCGAATGACAACCCCCATTGTGTAAGCGTAATCTAGACTAACATTCGTACAACTTTCAAGTCTACTAACGGTACGTTCAGTATCCCAGTACAATTCGGGTAATAGCATACTCTAGCCGGATACCGATGTTGTAGCGCAATAATGTATCGGTTAAGAAATCAACCTCGCGTTGTTAGCGTTTATTTTGACTGGAGACCGCCGTTGCGGCTAACTCCACCAGGGCTAACGTAAATTTCGACTGGGGGAAAATCGCCGAAGCCGAGGTTTTTGGACTGGGGTTTAAGGAGCGAGCACTACATTTATTGGGCAACGCGGCGATAGTTATTTGTTTGTTTTTTTATTATAGGGAAAACTGATGACAGTCCACACTACTTAAAGGTGGTGAATAATGGGATGACATATGATTGAAAGTCAGACCAGAGAGCGCAACTTCTACTGTACTGTACACGTTAACAGATATAAGTGTAAGTTGCAGACGATCGATTTATTACTGAATGTATTGGACCTGCTTAATCTAAGGAAACTCCGATTAGTGGATACGGATTAAAATTTTGTGTAAACGGATGAATTTCTCGTGTGTCCGGATCTCTAACTAATTGTTTTCGGGTTTTATTCAGATGTATACAGTCTGGATAATGATAAGTATACATGTGTATATCTGGCCAAATGAACAGCGGTTGGCCGTGGCGGTACTTATTAATTTTGTATTAATAGCTATTCTCGACGCAATACACAGGCTCTACGGTAGTGACTACATGTACTAGTCACTACTTGTGACACGACGACGACTCGTCTGTCACATCTGAGCGGGTTTGTCGAACTAGACTATTGCCGACGAGACTCGAGAATGGCGCGTTGGAAGGCTTCTATTGAAAAAAAAAAAAAACACACACACACACACAAAAATCAAATAGAAGGCCACTTATCATCATTTGAGAGCACGTTTGAAGCGATATCGTCACATTCAAAACACGCCAGGCACGTAGCCCTATTGTACTACAGCCACTTGGCTCTCACTTTGTGTACCAGCACGCGTTTGGGGCACCAAACGACGTCAGATATGTGTGTATAGGTGCACGTTTCACCTGAAGTGCAAGAAGTAATTCAGAAGAGCCTAATGGGCTTGTGAGGTGCACTCGCTGCCAAGATGACGTGCTCACAGCGACTGAAATGTACCAATGAATAGATTTTTCTTTAAGCGGCTGAGTGAGAGCTCCTACTAGTCCCAGATTCCTGTTTGCGTATCCTGCAAAGTCTTCTAGTCCCGCGCCGCCTCTCATACCCCGATTAGTGTCGAGTGCCGGCGTGGCTTCTCCTGCCATGGCGCCAACCCGATCTTCAACACGCCCCCTTCGAAGCACAGCTTCGCAACCTTAGGCGCCAATGCTCACTGCCTTCAACAAGCAACGCAAAAGAGTCTTGTTTAAGGGCTTCGTGAATGTGTCCGCTGGATTCTCCGTGCCCTTCACCTTGTATTACTCGATCATTCTGTTTCTCCACTTGTGCACGCACGCAATGTCACCGCAATTCGATGTGACGCGCTCGTCGGCTGTAGCTCGGGTTCGTCGCCATTACCAGTGCAGCCTGGTTGTCGATCCCTAGCCGAAGTTTCACGTCCTTCGTCATCACAATCTCCTGTAATATGTTGCTTTCAGCAATAGCCTCCATTGTAGCTTCACATGCTGCCACGTATTCGGCATCAGCCGTGGAAAGTGCCACAATAGTTTGCCGTCGTGACATCCAGGAAATTGCGCCTCCTGCCACTGTAAATATGTAGCCTGTAGTGCTCTTGCGAGTCTCAGTATCATTCGCCCAATCGCTGTCACAGTACCCTTCCAATTCCACACACATAGCCTCTTCCGGAGACCTAGTGTAGATAATTCCATAGTCAGTTGTCCCCGCTAGGTAGCGAATTACACGCTTGAGTGCTCCCACATGCTCACTTGAGGGTTTCGCTACGAATCGGCTCAATTGTCCCACCGCGAACGTCAAGTCCGGTCTTGTTCCGGTGGCCAAGTACATTAGCATACCCACGGCCATACGATATGGAAAGCTAACCTCAGATTCTTCATCCTCTTCCATCGGTACCAGTCGCAGGTTAGTCTCCATCGAATTCCCCACATCATGCGCCTTCTCAAAGCCTAGAGCTTCCAAGATATCCCGGGCGTACTTGGTCTGGCTAATCTTAATGCCCGCTACCGATTGCATCACCTCCACACCTAAGAAGTGCTTCAACTCTCCTTGATCCGTGATTCCATAAGCTTTGTCAATATCATCAAACACTTTGGACTTCGACGTTTCACTGTTTGTTGCAACCACAATGTCATCCACGTATACCAACACCAACATGGTAGCGTCACCATCAAACCGATAGTACAGACATGGTTCCGTCGACGAATGCAGGTATCCCTGCTTCAGTATCCCCTTATTCAGTTCTGCGTTCCACTCTCTGCCTGGCTGTCTCAAGCTATACAAGGCTTTCACAACAACGTACATGTTTCCAGCAATCTCGCATGGATATCCATCGATTGCCTTCAGGTACTGATGACTTCCCAACCATGCGTTCAGATACGATGTGTTTACATCCCCTCCGTAGAGTATTGGTTTCAGGATTACAGCAAGAGCTTCCAACATCCTGAACGATGACATGCGGGCCACTGGTGAGAAGGTCTCCACAAAGTCAATTCCTGATCGTTGATAATTTCCAAATGCTACGGTACGCGACTTGAAACGAATTACATACCCTTGGAAATCTGATTTCAACGCATAAACCCATCCAGTTCGACTTGGCTTAGCATCTTCTGGTACTCAGTAAACGGGATTTCCTTTAGAACACCTTTTTCCTTCAAAGATGCCATCCCTTCCATCTCCGCTAGGCACCACAAATCTGCATACTTGGAATGCATTGCCTCGCGATGATTTTTCGGGACTTTCACTTGGTTTGCCCTTATCGGCTCACCGTTAACATCTAATACTCTGACGGTCTTTTGCATCGCGTTCACAACGTACTCATCCAAGTAGCATGGCCGACGACATTCATCTGCTTCACGCAGACCAGCACGCTTGCGTTTCGGCTCCACCTTATACGCACATCGCTCCACTCTTTCCTCCTCTGATGATGTTTCATCACGATGAGTTTGTTTTCCAACTACCGTCTGACGTAGTATAGCACTAGCATCGACCACTTCGTGCTGTGGCTTCACATCTTCGGGTACTTGACGTTCATGGTCCGCCTCAGTCGCAACTCCACTAACCACAGAAATAACATCACTTTCCACGATACTTTCACTTTGGTCGGGCTGTGATTCTGCCCCACAGTCACTGTCTTTTGCTTCATCTACTTCTGAACCAACTTGTACTGTAACCGATTCACTTCCATCGCAATCTGCAATGTTGTCGTATTTGGACTCGTCATGTAGTTCCTTTAATGCTGCAGCAATTGCGCTATCCATGGCGGTCTCCGCCTGCTTGCTTCCTACTCCACTCGCTACAGAGTTCTGCGTCCGTGAGTAATTTTCACTTACACCTCGATCAAACTCTGCTACGTAGCATGTCGACTGGGTAGGCCGTCGATCATAAACACCATCATCATGGTCATGTCCACCGTCTGGAACTTCATCCTCCAATTCCCAGTTCTCTTCTGCATTCACATCATCGAGTAAGTCCTCCCCCTCTTCGAGTTCCATGGACTCGTCACTCAACGACTCGGTGATTGATGTTTCAGGGTCTTGTTCAAAGTGCAACGTCTCCGGTTCTCTTTCAGCTCTGTATCGATCTCATGTCGGTCACGGTAAAGTACCTCCTTCTGAGCACGCAGATCAGAAACAAACTTCACTGTTCGCTCTTTTGGAAAGTACACCTTGCATCCAACCACATCTTCCGCATACCCAAGACAAACCCAACTCTGGCATTGTCGTAATGCTTACGACGACCTGATGTTAGAGGTATGTGCACGTAAGCCAATGCTCCAAAGGCTCTGATGTGTTGGAGATCTGGTTTCACTTTAAACATTTTCTCATACGGAATACCTTGTACCCCATGTTGAACACCCGATTCTTTACGTAAACTGCGTGGTTCATGGCCTCTGGCCATAGACTGTGTGGAAATCTTGCCTGGGTCATCATCGACGTAGTCATGCCGACCAACGACTGGTGCGTGGGCTCGCACAGGCTCAATTGAGAACACTTTGGACCAACTTTGACGTGTTCGATGCCTCGCGCAGCGTACCATCCGTCAATATCCGCGTTAACGAACTCTCCGGCCTTGTCTGCCAATACTTGGCACACCTTAAAGGTTTTCCGCTCACTAATAGTGCGAGTTCGTCCCCCCTGTCTCTCTGTCCAAAACATGTATTGCTTTAAGTGCCCGTTCACTACCTCGCTTAACTTGCTTGTTAGCATGCGAATAGTCACAAACCGAGAGTAGCTATCTAGAATCACTAGTATTGCCTAGTATCGAGTTCCGTTTCCCTTACTTGGGATCAACAGATCTGCAAACACCACTTCATTTGGCTTCTCGAGCCCCCAATCAAGTTTCTTCCAGTGTGACTTCCTCTTCGGCTTTGCAAGGTGACATGCATCACAATTTTCCTTTTGCCTTTGCGTCAACATCATCCCTCGCACAAGCCCTTTGTCCACCATGGTCTTCAGGTACTGTGGACACGTATGTGCTAAACGTTTGTGTCACACTTCCAGTGATGCAATACCATCAACTGCTGTCAGGTTTGCAATGTTCATGTGACGTGGTCTTTCTTCATTTGAGTGTGAGGCGTAAAATCCCCATGTTGCATCTACCGGTTTGGCAACAGCCACTATGACACCCTCATCCAGTATGTAGAAGCTGTGAGTATTGCCGT